TTCTTATAGTCCAGCATGATTTCTTGTAAGTTGCTCGAAGCCATTCTTATTGTAAACAAGCATGGCGGTCATTTTAAAATTAGACCCGATGACCTATCGATCCTAGGATGCAACAGGCTATTGTAAACTTCCACTATGACTTCTGAAGCAACCATGAAAGTTCAGAATATATTATTGTGATTCATATTTAAAGGTATGATTAACTAAATCCACAAGAATATTATTTTTATTTCAATCTTAATATCAACCTGCATATGGTTGCAAATGACGGTTCTAGACGACCTGTTCCAGTCACAAACACATGATAGACCAGTACTTGTAAAAAATTTGGTAACCACATCTTGTACTGTTCTACTGGTACCCTCAGTTTAAATCATTAATTTTTATTCTTTCTGAAGGCATCATGTGTTACAGCAATCAAAATTATCAAGGTGCGAGGTCAAGCAGGTCAATATTCCATGTGCTATGCCTCAACAAAATGTAATCACGCAACCTCCACAAACTTTTCTGAACTGGTGACATGTCCGATGAAATCTTACTCATTGTCTGATAAAATATCATAGCAAAAGTTAAAGAAGAGTTTGAAAAAAGTCAACACTGCCTCTCTCGTACAATGATACAAGAAAGATAAGGCAAAATAAAAAAAATCAAGTGACAGATTTTAAGTCACAGTGACAAAGATTTACAAATGAAAAGCCGTAGAAGCTTTCAAGGAAAGAGGACATTGTTTATCTAACTCTTCAAAACACAATATCTGGCTGTAAACACAAAGAACCATGGAGATGACCACTTGTAAATAACATATAATATTTGTGAATACCATAGACTGGCATCAAGAAGTATCAAAATGTCAGCCTCTGCATCATGTTGCATGATGGCATTTACTTTTAAAGATAAAACTCCAGTTCTAACAAGATTGACAGTTGCCATTTATATAAGCAACTGTAGTGTCACTCATGTGATTCACTGCTTCTATACAATCCAGAGCTTATGCATTTGTGTGTTAATATTAGCGACAACACTCCAAGTTTTGTATGGGTTGAAAGTTGGAATTCATTTCATTTTAACCAATTTTATTGCACAAATTGTACAAAGGGATCTAGACAACAGGCTGGCATAGGCGATATTAGTCTTTCCTAAGAATTTAGTGTTATGTTTTCAATTCAATGAAACGTAACAACACAAACAATGAAGCTAGAATTGATGAATAATGAATTTCCATATTAAGGACTCTGTTAATTATGGCAAATACAGTAAATGTAATTGCATGAAATTTGGTGAAATTTACTTGACATTAATCACAATTTTTTTCTTTAATAAGCTCATGCCTGGTAATAAGTCCACCCATTTAATGCTGTAGATTTACAAGTAAACATTATTCTATTGTTCTGTAACACAAACAAACATAATTTCACAGTCCTGTAATAAGTCCACCCAACTTTGACTATAAGGTAATCAAGTCTTATCCTTCCACAGCTTATTGTATTATAAAAAAAAAAGAAATTAAATATTGGCTTGTTTGCATCTTTGTGGATTATACTCTACCATCCAACTATTCATGAATTCCTCTAGGTATGAACTCTTGAATGTCATCCTCAGAGGGCTTGTATCTAGAGGGATTCCGACTGGATGGGGTGATGGACTGACAACAACTGAAGTTGGGACAACTCTTGCTAAATATAGTAAAGATGATAGTGTAATCACATCAAGTTTAAAATAAATTAATGGGTTTATGTGTATTAATAAACAAACAATTCAAAGGAAGCCTGAATATATCTTTAGGACTATTATAACATCGATAAGAATGACAACATGACATCATGTAGGTATGACAAAATAGTGTCATGCTAGAAATCATTTCCTTTTTCTTTTCAGTAGACCAAATACGATCATTGAAAAACTAAAACACATGACCTTCTCCCTGTAATGGGCTTTCTGATGAAAGAAACTGATGTTTTCTGAAATGCCAAAGGTATACACTATTAACAAAATTTCCAAAGACTTAAAGCATAAAATCAATACAACAATATATGAATGGCCATTATTTCAATATCAAGACCTGATTCCATTTTGTGATTACTTATTTAAGCCTAAAGTTAATCATTATTATTAAGACACAACTTGCTTGCCCTAAAACTTGTCCATTGGCTTCGACTTGTAGAACCAATATCATGTAAGCCAATGGTGGCTACGTGTGATTGAGTCTTAGACAAATTGCTGGCTTAATTATCCTTACAGAGACAAAGCAATCAGAAGACATACAAGTTTAGGACTTTCAGTAGGACATTGAAAATATGTTTTTAACTTCCCCAAATTAGCTTTGACTCTTAAGTTTGAAAAGACATACCTCTCAAGCATATGTTTTGAAACAGACAATTAAGATTTCCAGACCTATGACTTCTGAAATTAAAGAAGCTGCAACATTTTCCAGAATTTAAACATTCAATCAATTACTGTTAGATAATCTTTCCCAAAAAATTAAGACTGAAGAACCAACACAGATTTGTGTAGCACCCTACATGTTGTTTCTGATGTAGTCAACTAAACTCTGTTTCTAAGATAGTCCACTAAAGTCTTAAGGCCAGACCAACACAGATCTGTGTAGCACCCTCAGGGCTCTCGATCTGCCAGATTTGGGGCTGATATTCAGCCCCATTCCCAATGCAAAATAGTATCTTTTTTCCCCAATTTAGACCCCAAGTTTTCCAAATTCTAAGGAAAATGCCAATTCTTAGGGCCCCGGGCCCCAGTCCCAAAATGGGGTGTGAGAGCCCTGACCCTTCATGTTGTTTCTGATGTAGTCCACTAAAGTCTATGGCCAGACCAACACAGATATGTGTAGCACCCTTCGTGTTGTTTCTGATGTAGTCAACTAAACTCTGTTTCTGATGTAGTCAACTACAGTCAAGGCCAGACCAACACAGATCTGTGTAGCACCCTTCATGTTGTTTCTGATGTAGTCAACTACAGTCAAGGCCAGACCAACACAAATCTGTGTAGCACCCTTCATATTGTTTCTCATGTAGTCAACTAAAGTGTAAGGCTTGACCAACACAGATTTGTGTGGCAATCTTTGTTGTTTCTGATGAGGTCAGCAACAGTCATGGATGGATCAACAAAGTTTTGTGTGGGATATCATATTGTATATGATGAAGTCAACAACAGTCACAGTCAAACCTGAATCTGTAGACATCCAGTCATATATTTTATCGCTGAGCTTAGGGAATTTAGGAATAGGCAGCCAAAGTAATGTTTTTTTTTCTTTATGTACAACACACATTCACAATTATTGAATTTCATGATCTTTATCAAGTCCCTCCTTCCTGAGAGTTTTAAACTGAAGATGCAACCAGAGGTAATTACTTTCTCAAAGCATCCTAAAATCTTGGACCTCTGGCTTGCTTTACAAACATTTTCTTCTTCAAGTTTTATAAGTATATATAGAATAAAGAAGTTCTTATTCAGGTTCATAAGTATATATAGAATAAAACATCTATTTCCCAACCAGTATGCAATTTAATTAAAGCGACGTTTCAATGACTACACTGTCGCCTTCATCACTAATAGCCATTGTGAATCACATCTCGGCTAATGTAGGTTCATACTGGTCATTCTTCTGATGAACTTGACTGTGTACTCATCGAAGTGTTGCATATAAATTTCTGACTTGTTGTGATCACCATTATTTTACAGTGGTTATACACTGTCCTGGGCACTTTTCCCCTGGTTATCTGTAAACTTTATTTTACTAAATTTGCACTTTATACTAATATTTCTTGTTGGTTCCAACATAAGCAGTTTTATTGTTGTAAGCAACTAGAATACCCAGGGAAAACCCATGTGTTCAGGCAGGTGACCACTTACCTTTTCACCTCCATTGCGGGACTCAAACCCCAGATGGCTAAGTGAAAAGCGAGTGTTTACCACTGTGCCAACTGACCACCACTTGTTAATCAGCAGGTAACAGCAAAAACTTTTATCAACAATTCTTGGGTCCTTACCAGGGCACCAATATAACAGAGGCTTCCCATCTAATGATCTTGTAAATGAGCTAAAGAAAAATAAAATCTCCTTCGTTAAGTTGATAGGATCAAAGTGACATGTTCTTTTCAATTATTTCATTATTTACAAATGCTACCAACTCACTAACAAATTTTATTCCATTTATCAATCACAAAGATATAATTGCTTGTATTTTCCATATAACATGCCTTCTGTCCAAGGAAATTGTCTATGCTTTTTCTGAAGAACAACAAAATCAGATGGAAAAGATACTATGCGCACTTAATCACATTCTGTCTAGTCTGGAGTCAAACCAAACACCACAGAAACTTTGCCACTACAAAGTTAACAGTGTTATCTGATTATTAAGTAACTCCTAGCTGAATTATCAAAGGGGTGACAAGATCATTTACACTTGGAAGATGAAGTGGTCAGTGGTGTCAAATATTGTTGCAGCAAGCAGTGGTAACATATGTCCTGTTCCCAGTAGGCTCAAGCTAACAATCTCTCACTCTCAGGGCAGACACTATATCCATGAACACTAGTTGTGAATTGAAAGTGATCTCTTCATTTTGCATCAAAATATAAAACTTGACCTCCGTACGAAAAAAATCCAGACTGTGAAAAACAGGAACCTCTCAAAATCTATAGGCACAAACGGTCAAATACACCTTCCAATAAATTGACATGCACTTGCTACTAAAACTAGTTTATATGGCATATTTATTTGTTATCATTTTCAAGAAAATAATTTAAAATACGTAATAAAAGCAATACAATATCCCAATGCTGGCAGTTGCAGAAGATCACATGAAAAACATACCCACTAGTGACAAAGTGAAACTAGACCTAAATGCATTTGACCTGTTCATATCGACCTCGACTCCATCCGTCATAACGTGTGGACAAAAACACTTGTTGTACTTGTCAGATATTGACTATCTAGTCATAGAATAAAGCCGTTGTAGTGTAAGTGGTATAGTAACTAAAATACTTACCAATATCTTCATTTGTAAAGACATGTGACTACCTCTCTTCTTCCGTCCGTATCACTAACTTCCGTCAACAGCCCAAGGCCGCCATGGCACGTGAATTTTGGCATCATGGGATAGCTAAATCTGTTACAAATCGCGCCTGAAATATACATCAAATTCATTTAAAAACAATATTGCAAAATTCGATTATGTATTTAAGATGTTAGAAAAGAAAATCTTTTGATTTTGTGTGACGTGCTTAATATTTAGAATAAATTATGATAATGAGGATACACACTCAACACTCGTGACGTCACGTAATTAGGTCCTAAATATAAAGTATTGTTGGTGTTCTGCATGCCGCGATCATCGTGATGAAAACCTGTATTTTATAGGATTATGGAGTCCCAAAAGGTCCAGGTAAATACACAGTTTTATTTATGAATATATTTTCTATGAATTTTTATTCAATAACGTTGAAATATCGTCTGAATTACGTGTAGAAACTAGGATGTTATTTATTGAACAAGTGACCTAGTATGAGAAGGGAAGGGGAAAATTTATCAGCGATTTATACACATACCAATATATCTGATTTTCATTGTAATTGCTTTTCTTTTCAGTTTGTCGGGGCGTCTTGTGGAAAACATGGACCATACACATTTTACAAGGCGTTCAAATATTTTAGAGACGATAAATTTAGAATTTTAACACTTGGAGAATTTTTCTTTCTGAAGATATTGAAAGAGGGCCCCATTTGTATAGGGGAACTTCAGCTGTTATGGGAAAACAGTCAGGAACATCAGATCCTTGCCAGCGTCCGACTGTATTATCTGCCAGAACACACACCAGCAGGAAGAGAAAATTACCACGGAGAGGTAAAATATTTTTGTTTTTAAAATCTTACATTATTTTTCTGCTCAGATTGAAATAAATATTTTGAATGGAGTTATGTGTGAATGAATATTTCTTTCCACTTGAGTGGTTTTACATAGAACTTGACAGGCTTACATTGTGGCAAGTTATTGAGAGTCAGTTCTATAAAATTTTAGTCATGTTTTGCTCATTTATGTTAAAGTTATATCAACTATGTGCATGCATATTACATACACACTATAATTATAGGTCTGACATGATTTACAAATAATATTCAATAATTAAGTATTTTTGTTAATGATAAAAAATATCAAAATTCTTCCTGTTATTTATGAAAATATGTCTTCAGTGAAGGATTTCAATAACAGGATCATTACAGTGAGAGAGGAAACATCAGATAAATTTTTAACACTTGTAGATTATCACTGTGATGTGTGGGGGCCTCCCACAGGAGAATCAATAAAGACACACATTGCCTTCAAGGCAGTGCTGTGATAAACAGATGTAAAAACCTTCTGCCCATGTTATTAGTGGACAACCCATCCACTTGGTTCGAAAATATGTGTGGCACTGTCCAGAGTATTTTCACACCTAATACCTGGAGTGTGTAATCAACTTCTTCCTTAATAGATCTGAGATAATTTAATCCCATGGACCTTTTTATTTTTAAATGTCTCAACAATATCAAACATTTTAATTATAATCTAAAAATTATTTGTCATCTTCTGGACTTTTCATCTTTTTATTATTATTATTATTTAGTTGTTACTATTGTTCATTTTTTTTTTTTTTTACATTTTGAACACCGAACAAATATCAGAGTCAGTGAGATTTAGGATGAAACAATCTTCTAGGTCAACACAGCAGTACCCATTAAAAGCTGTATAATATATGTTGACTGAAAAACAAGTCTTCTTTCTTAAGGGGGCCATTCTTGGGGATTTTGATTTTGAAAAATTTACATAATTTGAAGAAATATTGGTTTATTTGTGAATTTTTTTTTTTACTAAATATACACTATGTAAAAAAAACACACACACATACACAAATATCTTACAATCATTATTTTGCTGAAATTTTTAGTAGTATATTGAAATTATTTAAATCTTTTGAAACAGTTGATTTTTTTTCCTTATTGTAGTCAAGATTATACCTTCAAAATAAATTGTTAAAAGAAAATTTATGTGTTCCATTATGAGAAATATGAGGCAGGTTTGTACACACACGACTGATTATCTTTCTGAAAGGCCATGCCTGAGGTGTGTTGTATGTTATACCAGATAATACTGTTTACTCGGGATTACTTCAGCATACATAATCAGACACAGTTTAAAGTGACTAATATCATTTCGACTCAAGATTTTTTTTTCTGTATGACTTCCAATGAAATGTTATCACTGTTGTTCATAAATGGAAAATACTTAAAGTCTATCATCCTGTTAAATCCGTCTACCGATGATTTGACAAAGTGAAGGCTTGCCGGCAATAATTAGGGTTTAGTGTCATATTGCACTGCTGGTTTGTTTCAGCCAGTGCTCCAGATAATTTATGAAGCCATATTGAATTTACATCATTTCATTGATTTGTACAGTCAGTACTTGAAACAGCTTGAGAATTGCTCTGAATAACAGTGTATACATTCTTATTTTTAAAAAGTGATAATATGTGTATAATTCATGTCGTTTTATGCCACACACACATGTATATTGTAAATTTCAACCAGTTAATGGATCTGTATGAATATCTAAACTCACTTAAAGTAATACTTCTGGAAACTAGTGTATTTAAAGCAAAATAAAAATATTTATGGCTAATCAGGCACATGTGTTTTTCTGTATAACATGCATATATTTTACAGGTTAAACTTTATCTTGAGTAATAATAAGATTAGTAAAGTGCTGTGCATTCATGAATCATTGATACCAGGATGTTTGTAAAAATGTGGGGAAAAAATTGAACAGGAAATAACTATTGTCAGGTGGCATATAATCTGATTTTACTGAAAGTTTGTAATCTAACATGCATTTACGTGCTTGTTAAATTTTTGTCAGGGTTGGTAGCTAAAATATAGGGCAAGTCAAGAAATCTGATATCTCTGAAATGTTTCCATATGCCTGATGGTTAGGTGTGTCTATTTTTAGACAGGATATAACGATATGAGAATTTTTTTTATGAAAAGCAGTGGTGCAAGTGTCTAACCAAATGTATTCTAGTATTTTTTCATCCTTCTTAATTGCTTTTTTGAGAATTTTGAAACAGAATGGAAATTGATCAAAAATTACATAAGATATTGTTGATGAATATTCATATAACTTAAAAGTCTCAATAATTATCTGTTTTTAACAAAATAGCTTTGTCACTAGTTCAGAATATTAAATACATGTACTACACTTGTTTACAAAACTAATCAGAGCGTGACTGTTTGCTGTTCTGGAAATTCATTCTGCATTTGACAATTTCTACCATATAAAAAACGGATTTGTGTACAAAATATTATTCTCTCAGATCTTACAATACATCAATTTGACAACTGTACATATTGTATCAAATGCCCTTAAATTATAGATAAGTTGATTTCCTATTGTGTCAAATGCGTAAGATTTATCCTATAAAAACACAACAATTGTTGAGAGTAATTCAGTATTTGTAATTGTAAGATATTGTTCTTAATTGTTAATAAATATCTAGATGAACTGTAATGATTTCCTATAGCCTAAAAGCATTCACAAAGATTACTATCCGTAGACAATGGGAACAATTTCTGTATTGCTTGCCTGATGTGGTATTTTAAAGATCGTCTTTAATTGGCGTAGAAGCAGTCAGCACTTCAATAGACTGGTATTCATACCCAGATCAGGTTTTCAAAAGGAATGTTTAAAGGAATAATAGTCTGATTCAGAACAGGAACTGAAACTATTCCCCAGTTTTACCTCCTTTTTCTCAGTTTGCTTTTGTAACACACACACTGCTAGTTTTACGATCATTTAGAATGTTTTATACTAATTTTCTCAGTGCATGCAATGTGTTATGGAAAATCAATATCACAACTTACAGAAATATTGATAATATTTCAATTTAAATCAGTTAGTAATGTAAAAGTAATACATTCAATAAAATATCTCATTATATTTGAATTTACATATTTCAAATGACTACAGAAAATAATACATGTAAATGTTGTTAATCTGAAATATGAAATGGTTTGTATAATTTATCTTGTATAAGCCACAAAGAATGTCTTTGAAGAACAATGATTACCTCAGATAATGCTATGAACTCATTTTCTCATACAATGTCATGGATGAGTGATTTCATCTGACATTTTGTAATTATCCTGGAGGTATATAATCGTCTTCAAGATAAACATTTTCTATATAACTATCTTTCCTGTCCTAATAGGCTATTTGTGTGGGGGGCATTTTATTCATGGTGTATACTGTTGTCTGATGGGATTTTGTAACATTTTATAGTGATAAGTAAAATCTTTCCAGTTATCATAAAAAAAATAATGATTTTAACATTTCATTTCTAATGTAACTCATCTTTTTTTTTCAAATGTCATTTTAAATTGAATTAATTGAAACAGAATAAATTAGCACAAAAAAGTAATCAGTGATTAAAATTTGTTTCATTGAATTCAGTTGAAAGTGTTTATAAATTCAGATATATGAACAGTTGGTAATTAGATTTTTATTCAATTTGCAGGATATGCTGGGTTAGGTTTAGGCTTAAATTGACAAATGTTTGCTCTGACAAGCTGGCACCCTTTGGCCTTTTTCCAGAAATGGGGCCTCCCATGGGAGAACAAAATACTACTTAAAAAATAAACATCCTTTAAAGAACTTGACACTTCAGTTTGCTTTTAACTTTACTGGCATTCAGTTTTATTTTTTCTGGTTGTTGTAAGTCAAAGTTATCTTAAACAGGAAGATATATTGAAATTTTTTAAAATGATGAAGAAATTGATTCAGTTTAATTTTCACTGATAAATACATGTAACTAATTCAAACATAAATAGTTTTATATCAAGTTAAAATTTCAATTTATATTAGTTGTATTTCCACAGTCATTAAATTCATTTTTAGCATTTAATTTTCATCATAGACTTTGTGTTTCAATATTGTTATATTGTAAATATGTCACGAATGTAATAGATATCTTAAATGGGTATTGTACATGTAATGTATGAGATGTCACAGCAGGGCTGACACAGATGTTAATATTACACACTCACACACATATACCCATTGAACTGACTTCTCTACATACATTGGCATTTATACAGCCTCAACAACCCTTCACAGCATCCTAGGCATGACACACTTACATCTCTTAATTATCGCAGAGAAAATATTATTATTGGAGTAACTTATAATGCTACCACATATTTGTATAAATACACATTAAAGTTTACCTTTTACTTATAACACAAAGTAAAATTTTTGGTTGGGTATAACAGGTATTGATGAAATATGACAGAGATAAGTTTCTCGCAATAATGAAAATCAAGTTGACAGGGCTTTGTGGGTTATGAACAGCATACACGCCAGCAAGTGTTTACACACACATAGAGCATAGCTGACTACAGAGGTTATATAGATCTCCCCCACTCAGTGTAATAGTAGCTCTGGACATGATTACCATAAATACACACATGTACTTAAGTGGTAAGATAGTATATAATCCACCATATATAATATAGGGTGACAAAAATATTCAGTGTAGGACAAAAATTAATCTATTTATACATAAATCATTTGTACTTTAAATCCCTTTATTGAAAATTCAATAATTCAGTAAAACTGTAGAAAAAAATTGAAGAAAAGAAAAAAAAGGAGATTATTGAAATAAATTTTCATTGTGTTTTCCAATTGATAAGTGTAACAACATAAATGCATTGTCTTCTTTTAAATCTGCGGATATTGATCAGAAAATAAAGAATTCATTTATGGTAATTCAGGTATATAACATATTCTCTTGCACGGCATTGCATGTGTTATTC